GAAACATTATCAGTTTGAGGTGAAACTACAAGTGTGCCAAGAAAAAAAAGGAGGGGGGGGGGGGGGGCTGAAGGATTTTCACCTTTGATTATTGCTGCTGATGTTTGGAGGGCGTGATTATGCTGGTAGAATTTTGGTTCAACACATTTTTTTTAATAGGAAGAAATATGTTCACATTGTATACAGTGATACCCCTACATGCGGACACCTCAACGTGCCAACAATTTGACATAGGGACACTGATTTTCCCATAAAAAATCAATAAAAAAGGCCTGACATGGGGACATTGACTCAACATAGGCACATCTTGTGATAAAATTGCAAATACATTTCAGGCCAAATTACATGAAACAGATATTTCCAACCCTGAAATTGATGTAAGAAAAGCTCTTGGGCATTTCTCTCACCAATTTACCATCCAGTTAGCTGATTTAAAACAAATTACCTCCAACATAGAGGGACTACCTTCTCTCTTTTTCTCTTGAATGTTATTTTTACAGAGAACGCCAACATTTCTATGTACTGTATGGAGGTATCAGTATTCAATTCCCCAAATTTCCATTTTTGTTGAAATATATTGATTGAATCAGTTTAAATTGGGAGACAATTTTTATTTTCATGGAATTATGGCAAGTATTTTGTATATAAAACACCAATCAAAATTTATGTAATGTAAGTCCAAGGGAAAATGAGACTTGGCTTGGGATACTCTTGATGCACCAATCATGTCCTCATCTTGGGGTCTCACTGTATATATATTGGAATTGGAAGAAAATCTTGTAATTCTTCATTATGTACGTTTTCCAGATGAAGAGGGATTCCCGTGTTCATGATGATCATTGTTTGTTGTAACTATGTTTTATGTTGACAATGATTTGATATACTGCCAGCATGCGAGGACTTTTGATATGCTCATTTTCTGTCATGTACTGCATCGTGGTTTTCACGGTATTAAAACTCATTGAAATTTCGCAGACCTTTGTGCAATAATTATTGTATTGTGGCGTTGATGTTTTGTATGAGATCAAATATTTGTAGACGTATGATAGACTTTCTCTACGACAGAATGCAAGAGAACAGAAAAAAATCGTTCTACTGAGAGAATTCCATTGTAGAGATAATCCCCTTTAACTGTGGAATAGAACCCTATGAGAAGAGAGACAATTCGTTTACAGATAAAATAGTTGTAAACAAGAACATTATATTAGTGAGATTATCACCCTTCATACAGTGTGTGAGCTTGTTCATTTATTTTGAAATCTCCTATTTCTTATGAGTATATGCATTTAGATCGCCCGAAGTCAGGAAATAATATTAATTTCAGCTGAACGAATTTTAAATTACAGCTTAGGAGTTCAAAATAACTCAGCAACAATAAGCAATAATCTAAGAATGCAGTGCTTTACCACAAAAAAAAGATTAAGGGCAATTTAGGTGTAGATTTTAATGCATCATGTTCCATGCACTGCTTCATTTGCAAAATGATGATGAATTTTCTTTTGAGTCACGAACAGTTAAAGTTTTTTTTTCCTCAATGCGCATAAGATACTCATACCACGCACTTATTGTTTCTTATAATAAGAATGATGCACTGAAATGAGCGAATATTTCGAAAATAATTTCATGGAGCATGGCTTGGTATTCGCAAAAAGAACGAGTGAATAGGAATGTTTTCAGCTTTTGTAAATTTCCCGAAAAAAATTCAGATCACGAAACAAAGTCTAGTTTGGCGGACAGGAATTTTAATGAAATGTTTGTATACATTGTATATGCAGTCAGCATTCTTGACCTGTTTCGCCTTCAAAAATTGGACCATCGACCTCATTTTCAAAGCAAAAAAGAGAAACTTACGGAACAATGATAAATCTTTGGAAAAGTGCAATATGCAATTCACATCAGGTATCCGAAAGCTGATCTGATTCCGAAAGGAAAACTTTCCAGACGACATCATATATGGGTATATATATACAGCCGCATATTTATAAACTCTTCGCTGCAACAAAAGCTACACTTTTTCGAGGGTTGCTCGTTCATTCAGACAATTTCTGGATCGGTTAGAAAAATAGAGTCAGATTTATCGCGAGCACATCTACAAGATCAGTGTTTGTATTAAATCGTTCAGTGTTTCGGTCAAGACGCGTCTGCAGCTTCTTTTTTTTTGCTGTTATAGGATACTCAGAAACAATTAAAAGACTATATTTTTTTTTTTACTTCAGATTCTTTGCAAGAATTAAACAAGTCGAAAAAATGGCCAGATATTTTTCCATGATCGCAATCGCTTTATCGATTATTTGCGCAATTTCATTTTCTGGACATCACGGTGTAAATGGATTTCCTACTGGCAGTGAAACTCGACAGGGATTAGCTGAAGAAAATATCGCCGAAATTGTGGCCGATAGCCCAGTTCCAGCAGAAAATGAGCAGGTTTGAACATCTTGTTGAAATTCAATCGTGGAAATCACGAATAAAGAATTAACGATAACAACCAGAAAATATGAGGGTTGTTTCATAAGTGTATATAGCGACTAATTCAAACAGGTCCAATATGGTTTGGTAAATTAAATTTTTATTCCACTCTTATAATAACCTCGACACGCGGCAACACTTCGAATTCAGTCAGAACTTGATTTTCGCCATTGTTTTAATCAATGGATTTATCGCATGAAAAAGTGCATTGCGAATGTTGAGCAGCACTCAAAAGTTGCCGCGTGAGAGTTATGAAAGTTCAAAAAAAAAGTTAACTGACCAAACCTTGTTGGAGCTATTTGAAATACTCGCAAGACTTATGAAACAGCCCTCGTAAGTGACATAAGAAATTTCCGACACCGCGTTGAACGAAAATCAGCTGATCAAATCACGCAGGGAAAATCAGCACGCGGAAGAAAAGTAACGCCATGGAATTATCGTATTGGCGATTCGCTGGCCTCAATTACTCATATTTATTCTTCCATTTCAAAAATGTTTCATGACTTTTTTTGTGATGAGGCTCCAGTCCGCTCCACAGATTTCAGATTTGTCCAGAATCGTACGTGAATTGCGCGGAAATTAAAGTCA